TTGGTCTGTTTAAGTTGTGTGTATCCTCCTGACTCAATCTGGGCAAGTCATATGACTTAAGAAATTTATTGATGTCTTCACTGTCTTCTATTTTATTGGAATATAGGGTTTCAAAATAATTTCTAATTATCTTCTGTATTTCTGTGGTGTCTGTTGTGATATTGCCTTTTTCATCTTGTATGCTACTAATTTGAGTTCTCTCTCTTCTTTGTTAGCATGGCTAAGGGTCTGTCGATCTTATTTATTTTTTCAAAGAACCAACTTTTAGTTTTGTCAATTTTTTCAGTTGTTTCTTTTGTTTCAATTTCATGGATTTCAGCTCTGATTTCCAGTTTCATTCCATTATGATCAGATAAGATGCATGGTATTATCTCCACACCTTTATAATTTCTAAGGGTTGCCCTATGGCATAATATATGGTCTATTGTTGAGAAGGATCCATGTGCTGCTGAGGAAAATTTATATCCACTTGATGATGGTTGATATATTCTCTATATGACGGTTAAGTCTATGTTATTAATTGTGTTATTGAGTTCTATAGTTTCTTTATTCAACTTTTATTTGGAAGATCTGTCCAATCGTGAGAGAGGTGTTTTGAAGTCACCCATAATTATTGTGTTGTGGGTTATTTGACTATTGAACATGAGGAGAGTTTGTTTTATGAACGTAGCCGAACCATTGTTTGGTGCATAAATATTGATAATTGTTATGTCTTGTTGGTGAATGGTTCCCTTTAACAGTATATACTGTCCTTCCTTAACCCTTTTGATTAACTTAGGCTTGAAGTCGATTTTATTCGATATGAGGATGGCCACCCCTGCTTGCTTCCTAGGACCAAGTGAGTGGTATATTTTTTCCAACCTTTCACCTTCAGCCTGTGTATGTCTTTTACAATCAGATGAGTCTCCTGAAGGCAGCATATTGTTGGATCTGTTTTTTTAATCCAGGTTACCAGCCTATGTCACTTTATTGGTAAATTTAAGCCATTAACGTTTAGGGTTACTATTGATATATGGTTTGTACTTCCAGTCATGTTTGTTTGTTTATTTATTTGTTTATTTTTAATTTGGTTTGTTTTCCCCTCCTTGATTAGTTCCCCCCGCCCTCGCTTTACTGAGGTACTTCCCACTGTTTGTTTTGGTTGTTGTTTTTCATTTCCTCTTCGTGTAGTGTTTTGCCCAAGATGCTTTTCAGTGCCAGTTTTCTGGCTGCGAATTCTTTTAACTTTTGTGTATCGTGAAAGATTTTTATTTCTTTGTCGAAGCTGAAGCTTAATTTTGCTGGATACAATATTCTTGGTTGGCATCCATTGTCTTTCAGTGTTTGAAATACGTTGTTCCAGGATCTTCTCGCTTTCAGCGTCTCTGATGAAAAATCAACCGTTAACCTAATTGGTTTACCCCTGAATGTAATCTACCTCCTTTCTCTTGTAGCTTTTAATATTCTCTCTTTGTTCTGTATATGAGATATCTTCATAACAGTGTGTCTTGGAGTTGGTCTACTGTAGTGTTGGGTGCTTGGCGTCCTGTGTGCTTCTTGGATTTGTACATCTGTTTCATTTTTCATGTCTGGAAAGTTTTCTAAAATTATTTCATTCAACAGATTACTCATTCCTTTGGTTTGGACCTCTATACCTTCCTCTATCCCAGTGACTCTTAAGTTTGTTTTTTTTTTTTTAAGTTATCCCATATCTCTCGGATGTTTTGCCTGTGGTTTCTTACCAGCCTTTCTGAGTTGACTAGACTCTTTTCGAGATGATATATTTTGTCTTTATTGTCTGACGTTCTGACTTCTACTTGATCTACTCTACTAGTGATACTCTCGTTTGAGTTTTTAATTTGGTTTATAGTTTCCTTCATTTCTAGGATTATCGTTTTATTTTTTTTATAATCTCCATCTCCTGGAAGAGTTGATTTTTTGCTTCTTGCATCTGTTTATGTAATTCATTTTCAATGTGTTCTTTCATTCTTTGCATTTGCTGTCTAATGACCTCTTTAAGATTCCATTCTATCTGACTCAGGTATACCTTGAGTTCTTTATCTGACCATTTTTCTGATGCCTCTAGGTTCTCCTGTAGATTTAGGCTGTCCTGCATTGTTTGTACTCCTTTTCTTCCTTGTTTTTTCATGATACTCATGTTACTTCCAGCTCTGTTTGACTGCTATGTTACTGTTTACTCCTATAAATTTATTTTGGTTTTGTATATTTCCAGGATCTCTTCTTTGTGATGGGAGACTATGTCTAGAAATGTTGAGTTTTATTGTACTTTAAAGCAGATTCATTTTTTTCATAAAATGCGTACAGATTCACATAGCGATCTGCGGTTTGGTCTTGGGACTTTATGTTTAGGTCGGGTGATGTGATGGTATAGGGGTTCTTATATCTTGGCAACCTTGAAAGATTGCTCTACTGAAGGGGGATATTAACAGGAGAATGGACCAGAGTATTTGGGCGTAGCTAGGGACTTGGGAGCACTATATATTGCCTCGGAACATTTACCTATATACATTTAGTAAATTACACATAAATGGAGTCATAATGCCTGGGAGGAAAGGTATGAGAAGGGGAAGGAAGAAGTCACTAAAGAGAATGAGAGAAAGGAGAAAATAGGTAGAATACAAGAAAAGGGGGAAAAGAAAATTGAAAAGAAATGAAAAAAAAAAGATAAATGCAATCTTAAAGTTCGATTAACTTCTCTTCCAGTAGGTGGAGCTGTACCCACCAGGCCAAGCTTCTCCTCTCAATATGCAGGAAACAATCCCTGTAAGGCGGCTCTTCCTCCCCCACTGGTGGGCTCTCCAGTCCTGATTGCCCAGGGCCATTGCTGGTCTCCAGCCACCTCCCTGCTTCTCCTGCCAGCCAGGCCCCACTCACCGGTGGCGTTCTCCACAGAACTAGCTACACGCCGGGCCTACAGCCCCCTGGGTGCCCTGTTCTCTTGAACGACTGGGCACTCTCTCTATTTGCCATTCACCCAGACCCCAAGGTTGTGGAGTGCGGGGCTGTGGGCCGTCAGCTTATTTTGCCTGGTTCCCTCCAGTAGCCACGCCCCCAGGAGCTGGCGAAAGAGGCCTCAGTTGTCAGCGCTGGTAGGAGAGGGAGCCAGGGGTCAGGTGCCCCTCCTGACTCCCTCGGTCCGACAATCACGCTCATGGAGAGCTGGGGAGAGGGGCCCTTGCGATTTCCCCGCTGTGTGGAGAAGGAGGGCTGAGGGTCACACACCTGCAGTCGCCGCTTTCGCTGCAGAGTGATCCTATCCGCTGAACTCTGGTGACGTCAGTTCTCTTCCATGGTGGACGCTGTTCTCTCTGCTGGGGTGTCCGATGGGAAGGGTGGGTCTGGTCTGGTGGGTCCGGTCTGTCTCTCCCAGGTCCCCCCTCAGCTCTCGGCCTGCTGGCCTATGGAGGCTCTGTTGGCATCACCTCAAAAGGTTCACAAAGGAACCAAAGAGTTGTTTCTCTATTCCTCTGGAGTGTCTCTGTAGCGCTGAGTCGTGGCGGTTTGGTGGCGGGGCACAAACAATCATCCAGAAACTCTGTACAAGGGGCAGCCTGAATTCACCTGCGCCGAGCTGGATGTGGCCTCTGAGAGGCTCAAACTGCTCGACCAAGATCCTCTTCAGCCCAGCATTGCCAGATGTTCCTGAGCAAACAGCATTCAGTTGGTCTCTAAGCTTCTTCTTAAGTAGCCTACCTCAAGTATTTTTTATATTAATGAAAACCTTGACTAATACAGAGGGATTTGCTGTGGGAGGCTTTCAATTGCCCTTTATGTTTGAAACTTGTCAGAATGTGTTTAAATATTATGTAGTATGATGACAATCACATATTACAATAAGGAAGTGGTTATGTAAATTATGGTATATAGTGAGAGGAATATTATGAACCCATTAAAGTATACAATACAGAAAAAATGTACTGACATAAGAAGATATTTGTAATTTTATATACTGGCTAGAAAATTAAGAATTTATGAATATAACATATAGAAACACATTATATGTATAAAATATGTGTATATGTATATAAATATTACCTCTAAATTATGAAATTATACTTTTCTATTTTTTACTAAAATAAAAATTTCCTAATGTTTTTAAATTTTATTTAGTAACATAAGAGAGAAAAGGAAAATAACATGTTTTTCTTTTGAAATGGAACAAGGAAACCTTGGTATCTTTATATGATTTTTTTTATCAAACCACTCTTGTAAAGAACGCACTTGAAAAATGTAAAAACAAATAGTGTCATTCATCCTTCTGAAGATATTTTTGTGAACTTTCCCAGTAGCTTTTGAAAGGGAAGTTAAGATGTTTTCATGGTACTGAGTCCATGGCATTTCATACTTGGAAGTGCCCTATCTTTAATCTCTAATTACATTAATGTTCTATGTCTGACTCATGAGGAAAGGAAGCTTCAAAGTGAAAAAGGAAAAATCCAATTTCTCTCTAAGTACAATAACCATTAATATAGTTCAGCCATGTGACATCCATACTCCAAAGTTTCCAAGTATCCTACCCAGAAGAATTCAGAGTTCAAGGATGTGCCTGCCAGTGAAATAATAAATTTTTTATTATTTATTATACATCTTTTTATAAGGAAATTTAAACAATGTGTTGAAAATAGATAGTCTTTATAATGTCTCTGAGAGGGACAAAAGGAAGAGATGATTATTACTTTTTTCATCTAGATAAAATTTATTGAACCCTTTGTTTATGGCTCTGAACTTAATGTTTCAGTTATTGTTTCTACTCTTTAGAAGACTTTTTTTCATTGATAGAATAGGAATAAAAGTAAAATAAGCAAAAATAGAGTTAATCTCTGGATTCTAATATTCCAGTCCTCTACTAATTATGTGAAATTTATTCTTTTATGTGAGAGTGTATGTATACTTGCATACATGCATATATTTATCCCTTCTCCAGTATCCTAATAGTCTGTTCTAAGTTGTGTAGTTGGTCTCTCACAATACATATTGTTTTCATTTCTTGTTTTTCCTAGGCAAAATGTCCAGTGATCGAGCTTTGAGGAAACAGCAACAGTTAAACAACCTTGTTTATGCGGTGATAAAACAGGCCAAACCTGGTGACAGAATTGTGGATTTCTGCAGTGGCGGGGTATTATATGTCTCCTTTTATACTTTTTAGCCTTTCCAAGAGTGTGTGACTTGTCTATATTACACTCAAGGTCATGTTTTCATTTGGCAAGATTGTTGTCTTACAATGAGCAAAAGACATGAGGACCAAAGTTAACTTGGTTCTTTTACTGACTTTTTCAGGGCCATGTTGGAATTGTTCTTGCTCACATATTGCCATCGTGCCAGGTAAAGTCTGAATAATATATAAAAAGAAATGTTTAAGATAAACACAATTCAACTAGCCAAGTCTGGCTTATCCCTTACTCAAGAGTTCCTAATCATTCACCCTAATTAAATATGTGACGCAGGCATTTTCTTTTTTCTTTGAAGTAAACTTCTAAGATTTAGAATCTTAAGGGGAAAATTATTAAAGTAGGACCAAAGTACAGTTGTCAAATTTTTAAAAAGTTGCATGTCTTTAAAAAATTTTTAATTGCAATTCCATTAAATAAAATATCTATAATTAAATTAACTTTCAATATAACTATAACTGGAAATAATGGCTTCTAAAATTTGTTGAGCATGTTCTTTTGATCGATTACATCAAAATTCTAACAAAAATAACAACAGTTGTTTTGTTCTAATTTGTTATATATGACAGCAGAATGCATTACAATTAATATTACACAAGTAGAGCACAATTTTTCATGTCTCTGGTTGTGCACAAAGTAGAGTCACACCATTCATATTTTCATACATGTACTTAGGGTAATGATGTCTGTCTCATTCCACCATCTTTCCTACCTCCCGCCCCCTCCCTTCCTTTCCCTCCCCTTTGACCTATCTAAAGTTCGTTCATTCCTCCCATGCTCTCCCCACATCTCCATTATGAATCAACATCCTTATATTAGAGAAAACATTCAGCATTTGTTTTGGGGGGATTGGCTTACTTAGCTTCTGTTCTCTAATTCCATCCATGTACCTGCAAATGCCATGATTTTATTCTCTTTTAATGCTGAGTAATATTTCATTACATATATGTGTGTGTGTGTGTGTGTGTGTGTGTGTGTATATATAAAGAATATCACATTTTCTTTATTCATTCACCTATTGAAGGGCATCTAGGTTGGTTCCACAATTTAGCTATTGTAAATTGTGTTGCAATAAACATTGATGTGGCTGTATCCCTATAGTATGCTGTTTTTAAGCCCTTTTGGTAGAGACCGAGGAGTGACATGGCTGGGTCAAATGGTGGTTCCATTCCCAGTTTTCCAAGGAATCTCCACATTGCTTTCCATATTGGCTGCGCCAGTTTGCAGCCCCACCAGCAATGTATGAGTATGCCTTTTTCCCCACAACCTCATCACCACAACCTCACCAACACAACAAATGGTGCTAGGAAAACTGGAAGTCCATATGCAACAAAATGAAATTAAGTCCCTATCTCTCACCATGTACAGAGTTCAACTGAAAGTGGATCAAGGACCTAGGAATTAAACCAGAGACTCTGTGCCTAATAGAAGAAAAAATAGGCTCAAATCTCCATCATGTTGGATTAGGCCCCAACTTCCTTAATAAGACTCCTATGGCACAAGAAATAAAATCAAGAATCATTAAATGGGACAGATTCAAACTAAAAAGTTTCTTCTCAGCAGAAGAAACAATCAGTGAGGTGAATAGAGAGCCTACAGAATGGGAGCAAATTTTTACCACACACACATCAGATAGATCACTAATCTGTAGGATATATAAAGAACACAAAAATCTTAACACCAAAAAACAAATAGCCCAATCAATAAATGGGCCAATGAACTGAACAGACACTTCTCAGAAAAAGATATACAATCAATCAACAAATATATGAAAAAATGTTCAACATGTCTAACAATTAGAGAAATGCAAATCAAAACTACTCTAAGGTTTCATCTCACTCCAGTCAGAATGGCAGCTATAAAGAATACAAATAATAACAACAATTTTTTAAAAAGAAAATAAAAAATAATACCCAAACCTACCATTTTGATCCATCAAATGTTTTTCTTCCCTTGTTCTCATTAAGTTATGCCCATACTAATATTTCTGTTACAAATTCTACAAATGCAAATAAAATTTTAGTCCCCTTGCTCTTTGTTCACTATTTTATCACAAATATTTTTCATTTGCTAATAGTTTTACATATCATCATATCTTAGTGATGATATGTTTTTAAGTAAATATACCACTCAGTCATTGGTACAGTTAGAAATTTGTGTTGTTTCTAATCTTCTACCATATTAAATCAGTTCCTCACCGTGGCCATCTTATAACATAAAAGTCTTCGGAAGAAAAGTCATTTTTTAATACAAATTCAACTAGGGCACAGTATTTGTGAGTTTTCTGGGAGATGTGAACTAACTATAGTAACTACTTGCAGAAGAAAAAATTATGGAGAAACTGATTTACTGGTCAGAAAGATATTTAACAGAATAATTGGAGGTGAGGGATAAATTAGAGAATAAAGAAAAAATAAACCAATAATCCTAGAAGAGGTGAGTGCCTTTTTATTATTAAAGAAAATAACAGTTTCAAGGAAGAAAGTTCATAGAATAGAGAACCAGAGCCAGGAACGTAGTATCTTTAGTTCCCTTCTTAATAATTCTGAAAACTTAGATTGGATTGGCTAGAATAAAGGCTGAAAAGCCTTTAATACCACTTATACTCTGACAGGATTTCTATTCAAAGGGATCCAAGATTTTTCCATAAATGTAATCATAAGTACAAAATAAGAACCAGGAATAATAGTGATGATATTGTCTTAATTCTACTCAAAATCACTGTTGCAGATTCCTGTTGTCCCTGCTTCTCCCACTCTTCCATAATCTGTATTATTCATGGAAGCTGTTGGACCTTCTTTTATCATAGCATGACCTGAGTCCATTACTTCTCCATCCTCAAATCCACCTCCATACCCTTTGCCTCCATCCCCACTATCACTAACATGTACGTTGTGCCAAGCTATACCAGTTTTCTTACTTCTTCTTACATACTACACTCTTTCCCACCTTGGGCCTTCATATGTATTTCTCTCTCTGCCTAACACTCTTCCATTCCCCTTGCTATGTTCTTTTTATTTTTCAGACCTCAGTTGATATGTTACTTTCCCCAATAAATCCTTCCTTAGTCATCAAGTCTGAGTGCTCCCATTATACATTGTTTATCTTTTATTAAACATTTTCACACTGTGTTATTATTGCTTGTTTCACTTATATCACTACACCCTAAGCTTCAAGAGTTCAAATACCTTGTTCAATTTAGTATCAGATTAACTGACATACTTCCTGGCACAGAATAGAGGATCAATATAATATGTTCAACATTATTAAGGCTATGGAATATAGCAATAATGTTTTGTCCTAATATTTTGTGTTATGTTACTGAATATACTGTTTTTTCCCGGGCAAATCTAGGTTATATTAATAGAAAACAAGGAATTATCACTAATTCGTGCTAAGAAGAGAAGTGATGATCTAGGTTTAAGCAACATTTGGTTCATCCAAGCAAACATGGAGTATTTTACAGGGATGTTTAATATTGGGGTAAGTCATCATGCAATTTCAATTTCCTAATTATAGCTAAATAAAATTATATGCCTTAGAATAAATAAAGGATTTAATTTTATATTCTTTCCTAAACAAAGAAATCTATAACTTTCTATACTTTCTCAACAAAATATAGTATACTAATTAATATTATTATATTCATAGTACTTCATTATTAAAAGTATATGTTTGTCTTTTTCAAAGCAATATTTTTCTTAAAATATAAAAAATAATGATGTAAAGGAGATTTTAAGGAGAGAATTTTAAAGTCTTAACCAACTACTCTTAGTAGTTTTAAATAAATCATTTATACATCAGAATTGAAATACTAATTGTTAGCCTTATCTCCACTAATACAACAACTTGTATCAAGCAAAAATGATTAAAGTTACTAATCTAATTAGGGTTACTAGATTTTGTTAACTTAGTTTGACTTAAGATAATCAAAGGAAATAAATCAAAATGTTTTTAGCTTTTTCTTATATCAGGTATTCCAACACCCCTACTACTTACTATAGCTCCCTCATTAAAGTTTCTTATTTACATTGGGTTTATTTGAGGAATATATTTTTCTAGAAATAAAAGTGACTAATAAGCATATGAAAACTCAGTCTTTGGTAATTAAGTGCATTCTAATTTAAACAACAATGACATTTCATTTTTTTGCTTTCAATTTTGCAAAGATTTTTTAAAAATATTATTAGTCTAGACTGCAAGGACTCAGTGAGAGGAGCCTGCTCAGGAGCTTTGAAAATTGCATTTTCATGATGTTTGCATTGATTTATTAATGATATGAAAATTTAGTTAACATGGACAAAATTGTATAAATATTATTATTATTAAGAGTATGGATTTTAATATTTGACAACCTTGTGCTAAATTCCTGCTTGGCACTCAATAACTGTGGTCTTAGGCAATTTATTCAAACTATTGATCCTATTTCCATCTATAAAATAAGCATAAAAAACTTACTGGTAAAATGTTGACACAAGGTATGTGAAGCCCTTAGGAGTTGCCTAGCATTTAGGAAGTACTCAATGAACTGAGCCTACTACTTTTTGCAATGTGATCTTAACCAGGTGAAAACTGCATTACAAATGAATGGAACGGGCTGGAGTTGTAGCTCAGTAAAAGAGCACTTACCCAGCATGTGTGAGGCACTAGGTTCAATCCTGAGCACCACATAAAAATAAATAAAGGTATTGTGTCCATCTACAATGAAAAATATTTTTAAAAATCATTTCCAAAAGAAATTAATGGAAGTAAATTATGCTAATATGTACTTTTTTAAGGTGGCTGTCCCTATATGTTGTGAAATAATATTTTTTTTAATTTTTAATATCTTTAAAATATACTACACTCAACTTGTTATTTTTATATTCATAAACATGTAAGCAATAAAGATAGAAATAAATATATAGTTATTTATTTTAATAAATTCTATATATAGAAGTATATATTTTATATGGTATATAAGATATATACAGATTCACTCTGATACATGATGGGTTTACCTCTTGATAAACTTACACTTAATGGAAAATATCATAAATAGAAAATGTGTTTAGTACACTAACCTGTTGTACATCAAAGCTTAGCAATACAGTACTTATGGAAAAGTGGTGGTTTAGCCTGTTATTATGTGAGTGGACTGGAGGCTTGCTGCTGCTGCTGCTGCTCCTGCTGCTGCTGCTGCTGCTGCTGCAAATGCCCAACATCACAAATGAGTATCACAAAGCATATCAAAAAAGATCAAAACTCAAAATTTGAAGTATGGTATTTATTGAATGTTTATCACTTTTGCACCATTGTAAAATCAAAACATTGTAAGCAGAACTACTGTTAAGCAGGGATTGTCTATGTTCTTTTCTTCAAAACAAGTATTTGATTGTTACAGGGATACTTTTTAATTGAATTGTTTTTATTTTGATTATAATGATTAATTATTTCCCTGAGGAAAATATGTCTTTTCAAAAGTAAGAAACATCCCAAAAAGTTTTGCAATTTTTTTCCAATTTCTATATATGTAGCTGCATGACCCTGATTCAATTCATTATTACCATACACTTAAAGGGTAAGTTTCAAAAGATTATTTATAAAAGTATACTTTTTAAGGCTGTTTTTACAAAAGGTATGTTGTTTCCTCTTTTTGTGTAGTATAGGATTAGTCTCATTCTTGTGAAAATTTATAAGATTAAGCTTAATAAATGCTGGGAGCCATTAGCCAAGTAGGTATGACAATTTCCTTGCCAGCGTACCCCATGTTGCTTAGTGGAAGGACTCGTGGAAATAGGACATTTTGCAGTGACATTGCATGTAGGTGACCTTGCTCAAGGACCAAGGCGGATACGAGTTTAGGGCGTTCCCGGTTTAGAACTATCCTTTTAGAACTATCCGGGTTTAGGGTGGTTCCAGGTTTAAGATTATTCCTGCTGGGAATAGGGCGTATCCTGCTGCCTGAGTTCCCCTTGAGTTGTCACGGGATTCAGACAGTATTTTTTTGGGAGACAGAAGCCCAGTAGGGGTGGATTTGGGCAGAGAACGTGGGTTTCCCCAGAACGTGATTGTAGACGGCTGGTGTGAGTTCGGGAATAAAGAGTTGCTGTTTGAATCTACAAGCTGTGTGGTGGCTTGTGATTGTGTGCCCAGCCAGACTGCGGCATTTGTGCCCAGCCAGACTGCGGCAAATAAAGACTTAATTTATAATATATATTAATACTAATGCTCTCAAAAAATAACACAAAAATGTTTATAATGTTATAAAATGGTGATGACTATGGAAAAGTGTACACTTCATATTAAAAACAAAAGTTTCTCAAGGCTAAATGTTTTTAGTGGGCAATTCCAAACTATCATCTTAACCGGGTGCTAAGGTACTGATTTCTAAGTATAAGTGAATATTTTTGATTTGTTATTGTGTTTCAAAAACTCAAATGTTTTATTTTCCAGCTATTTGCATTTGCTTTTTTCTATTTTGCCTATAACATAATTTTTAATGTGATTATTGATGGTTTATCAGTGGTGAGTGCTTAATTACAAGCTCATTTTTAGTTAGGTCTGTTAGTATATAATTAAAAGAAGCATATGCAATTATACATGATAATTCAGTAATACTTTTGATGAGTAATCATATGAGGACTAGAGAAATTTTCTATCCTGAAAACACAATTTTTAGAAATCACAAAGGCAAAAAGAAAAGATGAGAAAGCAGATAGAGATATTTCAATACCTCTTTTCCCCAAGAAAGATCGGACCCTCAAATAACAAGAGTGATTAAAAAAAAAAAAAAAAGATCAAACTCCATGTTTGATGAAACTGCATTTGAATGTCTTTAACTCAAATCATGATACAAAGTATTAAGGTAGAAGGCAGACTGAAGGGAAAAAAAAATAAGTGCGGTAGTCAGTTTTTTGTCTCTGTGTCCAAAATACCTGACAAGAACAATGAAGAAAAGTTTATTTGGAAGAAAAGTTTATTTTAGATGAAGAAAAGTTTATTTGGAGCTGATATTTTTAGAAGTTCAGTCCATGATAAGCCAAGTTCATTGCTCTGGGTATAAGATGTGACGGAAGAAAGGTGTGACTTAAGAAAGCTTCTCAGTTCATTGCATCCAGGAAGCTGAAAGACAGGGAGAAATCAATTGAGGACAAATATAATCCAGAAAGGCACACCCCGCAATGACTTACTTCTTCCAACCATACCTTACCTTCCTATAGTTACCACCCAGTAATCAATTCAAATCATTAATCCACCAATGAAGTTACAGCTCTCATAATCTAATCATTTCATCTCTGAACATTCCTGCATCAATGCATGAGCTTTTCAGAAGATACCTCATATCTGAACCATAACAATGTTATTAAGTAGATGTGAAGAACATCAAGCTTAAATGGAAAGGAGGGTGGTAAGAAAGTTATTACGAAGCATGTTACAGGATACCTGAAATATTATTTAAAAAAAGATGTATGTGCCATGTAGGCCCATAGGTGGGCAATGGTGATTTGTCATGTAAGGACTGTGTGAGAATCTGCATACTGAATGATGGATATCTTCCCTACCCACATCTGTCTCTTAATTCAAAAACCTCAGAAACCAGAGAATCATTAGTAAGACTGAATGAGTTACTCTTATGTAAAAGCAGAACTATCCTCAAAGAGCTACAGATATTAGAGCTATAATTATAAAAAGAAAAGTCAGCTAGCCACTCACCCACTCAGTAACTAGCCTTTTTGTTTTACTCTTTCATTTAGAACTTATAATCACCTTTTTTAGTGATTCACTCTTTAATATAAACTGACAGACATGGAACACCAAAGACGGAAAATTCAGAATGTAAGACTAAGATGAAAGCAACAACATGACAGAGGATCTTGTTCAGAGAAAAATCAGAGAAGATAATACATGTTGAATTAATGAAGCTAGGATAGAATGAAAAAGAAAAAGAAATGAATGATTGGAGAATAAGAAAGTATTTCTTGGCCCTATCTAAAGTTCCTCCATTCCTCCCATTCCCTTCCCCCCATCACCATTATGAGTCAGCATCCTCATATCAAAGAAAACATTCAGCCTTTGGGTTTTTGGAATTGGCTTACTTCACTTAGCATATTATATTCTCCAACTCCATCCATTTACCTGAAAATGCCATGATTTATTCTCTTTTAATGCTGAGTAATGTCCCATTATGTATATATACCAAAGTTTCCCTATCCATTCATCTACTGAAGGGTATCTGGGTTGGTTCCACAATTTAGCTATTGTGAATTGTGCTGCTGTAATTGCTAATCAAAATTAAGAAGTAATAAATTTAAAAGATAGGTATTTTTAAAAAAGAGGTGTAAGATATTACCTGAAAAATAGAACAAAGAAAAGACAAAAAAATGAAGAGAAGCATTCAAAACAAAACAAAAAAACAGTAGAGATTTAGTCCAAGAAACAGGCCAGAAAGAGAAAACAGATAAAATGATTAGGAGGAAAATATCAAAGAACTAATTTAATAA